GAAAGGAATAGAGATATTACACAGCGATTTCAAGAAAATAAACCCCGCAGCAAGTGGGGTCTTAAAAGCTTTCAAGCAGCCATCTAAGATGCAACTATTGCTCTTGTCTCACCTGGAGCAAATAAGAGTGAAGAAAATCAAAGTCATTTGGAAACAATTAGTCCAAAGATATGACAGACCACAAGGACCTCAGCCTTCATGACCCTGAGACCAGAAGAACTAGATGGTGCCCGGCTACCAATGCCAACCACTTGCAAAGGGACCAAAATTTGAGATCATGGATAAACTAGGAGGAAAAACGTGGAACAAAGTTCAAAAACACAAAAATGACCAGAATTACCGGACCTCGGATAGAGGCTGGTGGAACCCCCGAGACTATGATCCTGGGTTATCCTTTGGGCCTGGAGTTGGACTCACTTCTGTGGATTAGCTCTCAGCCAAACAGCAGATAAACCTACACGCAGAACACCTTTACAGGGAAATGCACTCACCTACCCCAGGGAGACGCACCACTTGGATCAGTCAACTGTGAGACATCAGAAGAGCAGCATTTGCATGGAGGGAAAGCTGGACAGACAGGACACAGGGAAGGGGTGGTCACAGGAAGGTGATGGGGATTATAATCAGGCCATGAAACCAAATGTGCATGAATTGTTGTGTGTAAATGAATCTGCTTTGTAAATTTGTATCCACATCACAATAAAAAATTTAAAAAGAAGAAGAAAATGAACCCCGTTTTAGACATGTCACAAGTGGTATGTCACAAGAAGCCTCAAATGGAAGAGTCTAATTGACAATCCACTCCATTCCACCGGAGTTTAGGAGACATGTCAGTGATAGAGAGGGAAAAAGTAATAGTAAGTCACATCAACACAGAGACAGTAAGGCCTCAGAGAAGATCTGTGTGAAGTGAACGCAGAATAATGAAGGGAAGGAAGGGTCGAGTGACTTAACTTTAGGTAATGCTCTCGGGGTCAGCAAAGAAGCGCCCTGAACACCCTCCACACGAGGACTTCTCGCACCGTATTCCCCTTGCAGAGCCGCCTCTCCTTCCTGTGATCTCTTGGTGGCAAACGCTGATCGAATAAAATTGAACAAAGGTTTATCAAATAAAAGTATGAACAGTTGATGGCCGGGGGTGTGTGTGTGTGAAAAATAGAGCATAAGTCATCAGAGAGATATAAGCACAGGGAAATGACCTGGGTCACTGTATATCAGTTAAGCCAAAATAAAATATCCTAAAATCTGGGTCTGCATTTTACACAAGAATTGGTCTAAGGTATTCCAGATCCAGAGAAAAAATATGCTGACACAACCTTGACAGAACAAACTGAACAGTAAAGAAAATGAAGGTAGAAGGCTCCACAACAGTCTAGTTCCTTTACAGAGGGGGCAGGCCTCATTTCAGGCATTGAGAGGGACCAACCAAGCAGTGAGGAGAACAGCAACGTCAACAAATTCCATTCAGAGGCAAAACATGAATTTTGCGTAGATACATAATGCTTTAGCATCTGGAAACCTGATGGTTAGTGAATCAGCCACCAAAGACTCCTTGATGAAGCTAATTAAACAGTGTCGAGATTAATGAATGGACTAATTTAAAGCACTTTGCTAACAGTGCTACAGGAAAGCTAAATAAATGCTAATAGTAATAAGGCCATAATTAATGGTGCATAAGCCAGAGAGCTAAGGGATTCAAGCCTTAGCCTTGGCCAATTTCCTTTGTGAGCTTCAGTGAGTCACTTTTGTTACTAATTAGTAAGAATAAATAGCATTATTGAATGGCGGTTAGTATGACTGACGAGCCCTCACAACTAGGGAGGAGACTCAGGCTAAAGGTGGCTACTAACTGTGACTGATGACGAGCAAATGACTCAATCTTATTGAGCTTCCTCTTTGCAGCACCTTTGTAGCTGTATCGCAAGGATATGAAAATAGACTAAATAAATATGCATAGAATTTCTCTGAGCTTTTTTTAAAAAACAAACAAACTCCCTGCCATCAAGTCAATTTCGACTCATAAACAGTTAAAACTAGGTCACCACAACACAAACTTTCTGAAGTTTGTACCTGCACAATAAATAGGTAGTAATTCCATACACGATACTCAGCTCTGTCCCTCTCCCTAGGATTAACAACAATAGTAAAACCGCTCCCTTGTACTTACATGACTTTTCACTTTTTTCAAAGCACTTTCATAGGAAAACACTCTGACTACTCCTTGAGCAGGCATGTTAAGTGTGGGTTTCTGCTGTAGGAAATACTCCTATCTCCTCCCTAGCACACTCTTTTATTTATACGGATTTTCACTGCTTTCAAAGCACATTCACGCTTACTATTAACTGGAGCGGTGGCATTATTAGTGATCTTTCCATTCTTTGCATCATCTCAAGAGCATAACCCAAATAAAGAGAGTATCTGAAGACTGATAAATAGGCTAGAAGATTTTGAGGCAGCCAACGCCTGATGCCAGAACTTGGATTCAGGTCTCCCAAAAAGCCTCAGAATCAGAACAAACACAGACAAGCAAATTCTCCCTTTCTTATAGGCACAGGCGTAGTTCTTTATTAAGAAAGCAGTAGGATAGAATGATCACAATATCTTAAGTATGGGCATAAGAGCAGAAACCATATCGCTCTTGTTCACCACTGAGTGACAATGTGTGTGTCCAGTGCAAGATCTAGCATATAGTAAGTGCTCAGAAAGTCCTCACTGCCACTGTCACTGAAGGGACAGACTCTACATAAGTTCCCATATGATTTCTGTTATGGAGTTAAGAACAGAAACTCATTTTTTTTTTAACTACTTTCCTGCACAGTTACTGCTTTGAAATGTGTCCACACCAAGCAGAACCTAAACAAAAATTAGAGTCGCTGCACAAAAGCTGAGACCTATTAAGAATCCACTGGGCAAGTCGGCTGCAAAGGACCTCTTTCAAGTGCTGAGGAGCAGAGATGTCTCCTTGAGGACTAAGGTGCTCCTGACACTAGCCATGATATTTTCAATCGCCTCACATGCACATGAGAGCTGCCCAATGAATAAGGAAGACTGAAGAAGAGTTGATGCTTTTGAGATGTGGTGTTGGTGAAGAACACTGAGAGTACCATGGACTGCTAAAAGGACTAACAAATCTGTCCTGGAGGAAGTATAGCCAGAATGTTCCTTGGAAGCCAGAATGGCCAGACTTTGTCTCATCTACTTTGGTCATGTTGTCAGAAAGGACCATTCCCTAGAGAAGGATGTCGTGCTTGGTGAGGTAGAGGGTCGATGAAAGAGAAGGCGGCCCTCAATGACATGGATCGACACAGTGGCTACAGCGATGGGCTCAAGTACAGCAGGGATCGCAGAGCCAGCGTGGGACTGGGCAGTGTTTGATTCTGCTGTGCATGGGGTCGCTAGGAGTTGGAGACAACTTGATAGCACCTGACAACAACAACGTCAAGAATCCGAGGATACAGGCAGCTGAGGTAGATTTACAGGCCAAGGGAAATACACCTCATGAGTCTTCATTTAGCAGGAAGCACTTTTAAATCCCATTCTTAAACCAAAAATGCATCTAGAAGTTTCAGACGGTAGAATTGTTTCCTACACGTTTGTGCCTTTCAAGTCATTCTTCTCGTAGCTGAGTTGCAGAAACAGTTTCTTCTCCTCCTCTAATGTAACCAAGACAAAGAACTGTACTTTGGCTTATGCAAGCACTGAGTTTCTGGAAGTCTGAATATAAATAAAATTTTTCCTTTTACAAAGCACGAGGCAACTTGTCATTCAACGGAGTCCAGCAGTGACAGACTTCTTAAGCATGATTTTATAATATCGCTACCTTTCTAATGTAGTTTTTTGGTTAAGTTTCCATATTTAATTCGTAGGATGTTTTCTTAAGTCAAGAACAAATGCAAGTTGAAAGAAAAGCTCACAACCTACTTGTATTTTCGAGTTGTAGATGGGGCACGTTTCTTTAAAAACAATTTTGTAAAACTTACAAATTAACCATTCATCAGGAAAAACAAAGGCATGTGGGCAGCAGATAGTAGTCACACACCACAGAAAACAAAAGGAAAGCCCACAGTTCTCAGAGCATTTCTGTCTCCTTAAAATAAACATTACGTCCTTCAGTTTACAGAGTATTCTCAAATCAAAGGAAAAAAACTGTTAAAACCAAGGTCACCAAAAGACCTTAAACTACACCGACTGTGGCATGTCATCTGACAAGCAGCGTTAACAGGGGACACAATCACGTACCTAAAAGCCTTTGCCATACATTATTCCTGAGGTAGTCAGGACCTACATCTGGGACAGTTTTGCCTGCATTGTATGGGAGTATCCAGAGAAGCTACCATGACCAAGGAATCTTGTCCATCCCTGCATCTATGCATAACACACAACTACCTCAGCAATCACCTTGCAGTAGGGTTGCCAGGTAAATTACAGGATAAAATATGGCATGGGCATACTCAAACTAAAAAGGTATCTGTTTATCTCAAATTCACATTTAATTGGGCATTCTGTACCTTTGGTTGCTATTATGGAACGAAATATGTCCCCAAAAAATATGTGTTGTAAATCCTAATCTCTATGCCAATGGTTGAGAGCGCTGGTAGCGTAGTGCCTAAGGCATTTAACTGCTAACCAGAAGGCTGGCGGTTCAAAGCCACCAGCCACTCCTCAGAAGGAATGTTGGGCAATCTACTTCCGTAGTGATACCGCCATGGAAACCCAAGGAGAGGTCGTTATGAGTCAGATCCGACTAGACAGCAGTGTGTTTGGTTTTTTCGATTTATGCCAATGAATGGGCTGTCTTTGTCATGTTAATGAGACAGGATTAGTGTAGGGTGTATCTTGAGTCACTCTCTTCTGAGGCAGAAGAGAAATAGCCATCTATTTGTGGTACTTCTATTATAGCAGCACTAGATAACTAACACATTTGCTAACTCTGGCATTTCTATCAAACACCAAACTCACTGACAGTGATTTCGCCTCATGGAATTTGGGCAGTTCTTTACCTTTCAGGAACTTCTTGGGGACCAAGCCACCATAACTGCTGCTTGCGCAAGCAACTGTAGGAAACAGAATACAAAGAATTATTTATTATTAAATAATTAAATGGATTTTCTTTAAAGAATCAAATGGAGCCTGAACATATTACTTATAGAATCAAAACATAAAAAAAGTGACCACTACTATGAGTTCAAGGATCCCTGATGGCACAGTGGGTAAGCACTTGGCTGCTAACTGAAAGGCTGGCAGTTCGAAATCACAAGCCACTCCATGGGAGAAAGATATGGCAGTCTATTTCCTTGAAGATTTAAGCCAAAAAAAACAAATAGCAAGCCTCTAGGAAACCCTCTGAACAGTTACACTCTATCTTATAGAGTCACTGTGAGTCGGAATCGACTTGACAGAAACGGCTTTGTTTTTGTTTTCTGTTTACCATGAACTGTCAGAACAACAAACACATCTGTCGTGGAAGAAGTACAGCCAGAATGCTTCTTAGGATGGTGAGACTTCATGTCATATACTTTGGACATGTTATCAGGAGGGACCAGTCACTGGAGAAGGACAGAAGGACATTATACATGATATAGTACAGGATCCGTGCGAAAGAGGAAGCTTCTCTTTGTCAACACAGTGTCTGCAACAAGGGGCTCAAACACAGCAGTGATTCTGAGGATGATGCAGGACCGGGCAGTGCTTCACTCTGTTACACATAGGGTTGCTATGAGTGGAAACTGACTTGACGGAACCTAACAATAACAACGTGAGTTTAGTGAAAACTAAAGGACCAAAGAAGTACTACGGGGATGCAGTGACTCACGGGATACAATGTTTGGGGCCAAAACATCTTCTTAGAGATGACAACCAAATAGCAAGCCTCTTCACTTACATCCAACACCAGGACTGGCTCTCTAGCTACTATTATACCTGATGATAAAAAGGATAGAAAGGATTACAGAAAGATGGCACGTCACAGCCCGTAACCAGGGTATGCCATGCCAGGAACTCATATTCCAATACAAGATTCAGTCAGAATGTGGCCTTTCTTTTAAGCAGTTTTAGTCTTCTTCTTTTTTTTTTTTTTATTGTGATTTGGGTAAAGATTTACAGAGCAAATTCACTTTCCATACAGCAGTTCACATATACTTTATCTCATGTCATTGACCACAGTTTACCACAATGCAACAGCTCCCCTCCCACTTCCTCCCCATAGTTACCTCTTCCCAGTGTCCATCCCTCCATACACTCCTGCCCCCTGAGCTGTCTCCCTGTGCATAAGCAACCCTTCTTTCTCCCATGATTGTTCTCTCCAAGAAGAGTATCTACTCGAGGTAAATGTTTAACTCATATGCCTGTATTTTGTTTGGCTGGAAACCACAGGTGTGGGTTCAATTCCAGACCTGAAGGGCAGCTAGGGGCCATAGTCTCAGTGGTTCCACCAGGCTCTATCGGACCAGCAAACCTGGTCCCCACCTTTTTATTTTTTTCTGATTTTTTATGATTTTGAGTTTTGTTCCACATTGTTCTCCCTCTCTAACCAGTTTTACTCTTAACTGGAAAATATTTTACTGGAAAATCAGGCAAGAATTCTCTGGACACAGAGTTCTAAACCTGAACATTAGAACATTTACAGCAATAATTCCTGCAGGCAGAGAGAGGAACCAGGAACCTAAGAGGGAAAAAGATTTGGACTTTTATCCAACTTGTGCATGGCCTCTTCCAGAAGGATGTGACCCCATAGTTGGGAGTCTAAGAATTGCTGCCATGAGGAGCCAACAGAAATATGCCTATCCCTCAGGTGTGTGGTGCAGGGAGAAAGGCTGAGAATCACCGGACTAATCACTGGACTAGCGTGAGAGACATGTTTCTCTAAATGTGTACTGTCCAGTATAGCTACATGTGGCTATTTAAATGTGTTGCTGTGTGCACAGTCGATTCTGACTCACAGCAACCCGTGGGTTCCTAGGCTGTAATCCTTATGGCACAACAACAACAACAATCCTTATGGAAGCAGATCATCAGGTCTCTTCTCCCATGGAGTGACTGGTGGGTTCAAACCACTGACCTTTCAATTAGCAGCCAAGTGCCTAATTATTGTACCACCAGTGCTCCATTATTTACATTTAGATTTACTAAGATTAAATTAAAAGTTCAGTTCCTCGGTCCCACTAGCCACATTTCAAGTGCTCAACAGCTACACATGGCTCATGGCTACTGTACTGGACAGCAAAGACATAGAACATTTCAGTGATGACAAAAAGTTCTACTAGAAAGCACAGCTTGAGACTTTTTGACTTTTGAAAGTTTCTGTACAAAAGTATTCTGAACATACTTCAAATGGCCTGAGCCCGAGGAGCACAGAATATTTAGCAAAAGACAGTCATCTTTTTTTGTTCAGTGTTCTCCAGAGGCATACACTGGCCCTAACATAAAGGAGAGTGGGCCAGTAGGACGGGGATGATGGTGGTGGCAGACCTGGTCCAGGATTAGTGAGGAGCCAGAACACTAGCCCCAACCAAATGGGCTCAGACTAAGCTACTTTGTGAGGATGGTACTGGACCAGGCCATCCTCACAACAGTACACAGAGGCACTGTGAGTCAGAACTGACTCAACAGCCCTGGACACAACAACAAAACATTAAAAAAAAAAAAGCACACCCTCTACATCTAAGTGTCTGTAATGCTTCTCAATTGCATATCTTACACTATTTCCTCCAATATCCTCTCACCTTCGCTTTAACAACTATCATGAAAACAGGCTACTTTTGGTGAATATGCTCAGGGAAAGCGATTGCTCTGATCGTTCCACACCCCATATGGCCCCCCAGTTTCAGCTAAGCTTCTGATGCTCCTGTAATAGTAAAGCACTGTCCTTTAGATGTTGTTGTTGTTGTTGTTGTTGTTTGCCGTCGAGTCGGCCTCGACTCATAGCGACCCCTCCTTGGGTTTCCGAGGCAGTATCACTACAGAAGTAGGATTGCCCAACCTTCCTTCCGAGGAGTGGCTGGTGGGTTTGAACCGCCAGCCTTCTGGTGAGCAGTCAAGTGCCTTAGCCACTATGCTACCAGAGTTCAGGGAGCCCTAATGGCTCAACACTCCCTAACTGAAAGCTTGGTGGTTCAAACCCACCCAATAGAGTCTTAGGAAAAAGGCCTGGCAATCTGTTCCCTAAAGATAACAGCCTAGTAGACCCTACTGGGCAGTCAACTCTGTCCCATGAGATTGCCATGCGTCAAAACAGCTCGATGGCCCACAACAGAAGCAAAGATGGTGCAGGGACCTGTCCACAGAACACGTATTTTTAAAGCAACAGTATTCCTCAAGGAGCTGTGAAAGCAAACACATTTGGGAAATGTTATATACAATAGCGTATTTTTAAAGATTCGCAGTCCATATTGGCATATTAAATGCTCTAAGATCTACAGCAAGTAAACCCATTTTATTTAAACCAGGATTTCCCAAATTTAGATGACTACATGACTCCTTTCTCATAAACCACATGAACACCCTACAGCACACATTTTTTTAAAAAACAGTGAGTTAAATAATCATATTTGTTATAGCTTTCAACAATTTATGATGGAAAAAGACTATACAGTCATCACTCAGTTTTTTACAGATGGATTATTCAAGTACTAAAATTTGTGCTTATTCATTATTACAGATATCAAACCAAATTTTAAAACATTACACTTTAGGTAAACATGGCAGATTGAATGCACACATCTCCTTTTACTCCATCCTGAAACCTTAATAAAACAATAGTAAAGGGATATATTTTTTAAAAGCATAAACATTAAAGGACAGAGAATAAGAGACAATGATAATTGCAATAAAATTTTAGAAAGTTCAAAGCAGGACTATTGGGAAAGGATTTAACAGACTTGAGAAACTGAATTATGAACCAGAAAACAAGAAGGGCAAGAAATAACACAAAATACCGTAAAATCTCTGAAAGATTCAGGAAGGGTACTATCAGGGACCTCTGCTAAGAGAAGTGGGGTGGGAGCTAAAATAAGGATGGAAAGTCAGTTGAAAAAAATGAATTTAAGAAGTTGTTAAATCTCTATAGATTACCTCCTCACTCAGAATTCTAGGGACTAAGCCCTCATAACCCTGAAAGGCAAGGGAAGGGTATTCCCTGAAAATGATGGAAGTGTGGGTCTCTGAAGTGAGAACCAAAGTTGTAGTAAAGCAGGTGAATGGAGTGAACATAAGAAGTGAAGCTGCAACATGCAAAGCCCCTACTCCCTACTCCCAGAAATCAGCAGCCTGGCTTTTATCCTCTTGGCAAGAGACTGGACGATTTAGTAATCCCAATAGCAAAGACCTAAGACACTAATATTAAAGGAAGAAAGGCTTTCCCCCAAGGAAAAGCTCAGTCAGATTATTTTTCAGTGACACTCACAATAACCAACTTTTTAGCCTCCAATTCTTAACAATGAACAGACAAACAAGAATTTTAAGAAAGCTTCTAACATGAAAATCAGAACCAAACTAAATAGAAAAAAAGCAGTAAAGAGGAAACAGGAACTAGGCAGAGGGAAATAAAACTTCAAAAATAAATCTTTAATATGCTCAAAAAGATAAAACAAGATATTGTAACCATGAGACAAATGCAGGATGCTATAAAAAGACAATCTTCAGAGAGGGAGCAAAATGAGCTCTTGGAAATAAAACCTGTGATTAGCAGAAAAGAAGCTCCAGAGAAGGCTGGAAGAAAAACTTGAGGAAATTGCCTAAAAAGCAGCAGAGATTAAAAAAATAGGAAAGAAAAGACTAAA